CCAGCCCTCACACCCCGACACACGCAGAGTAAAATAAAAACCTTTTCCTCCTCTTCATGCACGGAGCAGAGCCGCCAGCACAGCAGCAGCAGCAGAAGCAGCGGAGTGAAGCAGAAAAAAAAAAAAAAAAAAAAGCAGGAAAACCACCAAATTCAGCCTCTCTTCCTCTTATTCTCCCTGTCTGTCTCTCAGGAAGGCGAGCATAGAAGAGAACGTACCTCGGAAAACCTCCTGCTGCATCTCTGCTGCGATGTGTTCGCTCCCCTTACACTCCCTCTCTCCCCCTCGGTCTGTGAGTGCGCACGCCTGCCTCAGTGTGTGTGTGTGTGAGTTGCTGTGTGTGTGTTTGAGAGAGAGAGAGAGAGAGAGAGAGAAAGAGAGAGGGAGAGTGCAGGGAGAGGCGGTGCACACACACATACAGCCAGCAGTGTGTGAAGACAGAGGGCAGGAGTGATTCTCACACTCGAACTTGCTTGCTCTCCTTCACTCACTCCCCCTTTTCTTGCTTTCTGTCTTTTTCTCCTCTCTCACACCAGTTTTTCCTCCTTGAAAAGAGGAATTCTTACTGGTTTTGCTCTTTTCCCCCCCCTAAATTATCCAGCAAGTGAATCCTCCACAGATCTACACACCCTGAACTGACTCTCTCTCTCTCCCCCCCCCCTCTTCTGAATCCAATCTTCTTTTTATTTGGAAGTGTTGTTCACTCTCTCCAACACACACACATAGAGATACTTTATATACACAAAGCCCAGCGATAGGGAGAGGGAGGGAGAGGCAGAGGGAGACGGGAGTGGGAGAGCAGGCAAGCAAGAGGACGCCATTTAAGCAGTTTGTTACGAGCACTGCAAGTCCCCAAAATGGCTGAAAACAAACAGGAACCACGCCAACTCCCAAAAAACCTGGGCACCAAGGACGGACGGACGGATGGAGGGACGAGAGGACGGCGAGGGGAGTGAGAGAGGAGTGAGCTGGAGGGACAGCAGGAAAGTGAGACAGCGGGAGAGGACACACCGGCCGCAGTCAAATGGTGGAAGGAAGCAAAACAAAAAAAAAAGTTGAGGGGAAAATGGAGGCGTTAAAGGGCCGCTCCTTTCGCCTGACGCTGAGCTCCAGTGAACTTCAGTGGTCTGTCACAGCCGCGTTTTAAAAAGAAAGTGAAAATCAGTGCAGGAAAGGCAGAGACATCCTGACTGAGTGTCACTGCTGCTGGGAGGGGTCAGACACGGCTTCGTAAGACATCTCCAATAAATGCACAGGCAAAAACCTTTGACTTGGTCTTCTAATGAGCAGCCAATGGCAGGTCAGTCAGAAAATGGGAGGAGCTAACATCAAGCTAGCATCCGGATGCAAGCAGGAATGTTTTCAAAGGGCAGACCGGGATGTGAAAGTTGGAACGGCAGCACATCTGCCGCAAGTTAATACGATGCCAGTGATGATTTGGGAAGCCATGTCATCTGCTAGTGTTTTTCCACTGTGTCTCGTCAGGTCCAGCGGTCTTCCAGGACATTTGAATGAATTTATTTCAACTTACAGCAGAACCGAGCACCTGAAGGCATTGACAAAAGTACCAATAACTCTGACTGACTGGGCCACTGGGCTGCTTCTTTGATTATTGCCCTCACTGGTGGTGGTCATGTAAATTTATATAAGTAGATTTATAGTTGGGTTGTACTCTTTATTTTCAGATAAACTATACACCCTCACAGATACAGATATAGTAAAGGGGACAGAATATAAATACACAACACACTTTTTAGATTCTAACTCGTAAAAAGTATTTTTCTTTTACAAGGAAGTGAAACTATACACTTTGTTTATCACAGGAAATCCTAAGAAAATACATTGAAGTTTTTGGTTTTCGTGTGACCTAATGTAAAAAAAAAAAAAAAAAGGAGTTCATCAGGTAATTCCTCACTTCATCTCCCACGTTTGTATGTTTGGTTGGTTTCAATTCATCAGGGGAGAAATTGGCTCAGGTTGCAACAATGGGTCAAACAGACTCCAGGCTCAAAACACGTCCCATTTCTCTGGCGTACGTCAAAGCATTGAGCTGAACTGTATGTTTTCTAATGCTTTCAAAACTCCCCCGCCTCCCATCCCACAACATATTTTACGTCTCTATCAAAGCGTGAGCAGCAGTGTCCGGGGCAGCCGGTTTTCAAGTGTAAAATCAGAGGAATGCCTGTTAAAAAGAGACAGAGGGGAAAAGTTGGACTGGCATGAACAGAAACTGGGCCACTCATTGACAGTCCATGCCCTCGGCTAAAAGGGTTCAAGTGTTGCCAGAGACAAAGCTGGCCAATTAACTGCTTTTAGAGCTACCTGGGGCTAGACTGGAACTACTGGGAACAAGATACCATTATGTTTTGTGGCACCGCCACTCAAACACCATCCGTGCTTGTAAACCAGGTATCAGTTCTGATTTATCTGTGAAAATCGAGGCACGTTGCCTTCGAGCAACAACTGGTGTTGTGTTTAGTTAAAAGGCGACCTATTGTGCTTCCTTGAACGGGTTAGGATAGGTCTACACAAACATGTTCATTATATTTTTTTAGCACAAATTCATTGTCAGAAAATGAAAGTTTAGTTTGCACAGTTCTGCCTATTTTGAGCTCTTTTCAGAATGAGACGTTTTAGGGCCTCTGTCACTTTAAATCCATATAAGCTGCTTCTGGCCACGCCCCCCCCCCCCCCCCCCAACCCCAATTTTACACCCCCCCCGAAAAAAAACA